TTTGAAAAAAAAAAAAAAAAAAAAAAATGCTCATTGCTAGTACACTTACAAGTGGCTATAGTCTCTAACGAACACCTATCGTCTACGCTTTGTTCCTTCCAATTCATGTGCTATATCTCACGAGTTCTCCTATTAAATAAATAAGCGCGTCGTTTAGTTATCAAGTTAGTTGAATCGCCCAAGCGTTGCTGACGTTTACCTTGTAACGTTTTATTTTTATCAAGATCGATACGATTTGCCGATCGAAGCGAAGCTGACAATGCAAGTCCAGCGATTAGTTTGCTACAAACCGTAGAACGAAAATGTTACGACAAAGGTGATTTTCGTTTGAATATATTCGTTCGTGACACAGTGCGTCTCCAATGGGTTGAACAAAGTTTGTTAAACCGAGAAGTAGTCTCATAATGCTCCTCTCGGAGCATCGAATTATTCCGTACTTTCTTTTTAATTAGAAGTTGCGTCTCGGAACACAGACGGTGCTCCTTGCAATTATGGAAATCCATATTCCGGTTCGACGTAAGCTCCTGTATTCTTTCGAATTAATTAGCGACTTAATTGCCAGACGAATCCCCAGTTTCGGTCGTAACGAAAGCTTTCGAGTGCATCCGATGGAAACGCGCTAGTCTCTACAGTGACAACGAGCACCAGCGCGCGATTCGATTTAATTTCTCGCCGTAGGTATTCGCCAATGCGAATAGTTTCTATGATTTGAACCGTATCGTCTCTCGAATGGAACAGACGAACTCGTTTCTTTACGCTTTTCTACTCGTAATACGATTCCTCGTGCTTACAAAAGACTGAAAAACCTATTGTTGCGACGCTGTATGAAACGTAAAGCGACACCCTTCAATAGAAAATTAAAAAGTCAAGGGAAAATGACTTGCAGAAGCAAGACGCTTCTGGAGCGAACATCGAACTGTTTGAAAAATTCGTAGTGTGTTTCGTCAATGATACATATTACTTTATATATACTTGTTGCAAATGATACAGCGTATTCGTTCTACTTGAATACTGAAAGAAACTAAAGAGAAATATGTACGTGAAATAGATTAAGCGTGAAGACCTTTTTCAATAAAATAATTGTGGATCTTGTGTATCGATGGAGAGCAGACATAAAATATTAGATTTTAACTATAAAGAATTCCATTAATTATATTCAATTCCGTTTGCTGAATGAGTCGCTCAGAAGGCATGTAATCAACTCCATAAATTAAAGTACATAGAAGACTGGCGATTATAATTATCTTTTTTAATTTCCTTTGAAATTTATCATTATTTGTGCTATCTCCTCGTGATAAATAAATTGATAAGAATGATATTTCTTTTTTGAAACGTTGAATATTAATCACGACAATATGAAAGCAAATAAGAAGCTATTCTTCTGTAGATACACCGGTTAATTTTCCAGCTCGTAATTGTCGAGCGAAAAGAGTCTCGAACCGATTGCCTGAGCGCAATTGTCTAATGTAAGTCAGGTCGTGTATTGTCCTCCTTCTAATCATAATTGATGATTGCGTAATCAGAGCTCGAAAATAGGCGTCTCAACAACGTAGTACGGTGGGTGTCACAGAGAAAAGTTATCGTTAACGTTTAGCTCTCTGTTTAGGAAATTGGGATCGTTGCAGTTTAACGCGATTGAAACCGGAGATACGTCGCGAGTGAAGCCGCACAAACGAGCACACGAACTGTAGAAACTACGCGCGTCGAAAAAGGGAACAAAAAGCTCGTAAATCTGATGAGGAACAGGTTCTCCTATACGTCTTTTGGAATATGCAAAGTGCGAGAAGCGCGCGAAAAGACAAACTTTTTTACGAAATAGAGCGACTCCAAGTTTTTTATACCAGAACACATCTATATTTGTAGACCCTTTTTTCGACATATTTATTCTGCAAACGGTATTTTAACAAGGCGCGAGTGTGGAATGGATGAATCAAATAAAAGAAATTACATTGAATACTGCAAGATTTTATCGGCTAAGAGAAGAAGAAAGGAAGACCGGTGTCTGGATCAGGACAATTCAATTAATTATCGTGTACACGAGTGCATCGTCAGACGCGTCCGTGTCAACGGATAGACGTTGTTTTCTCGTGGAATGAATGAACGTGACCCTTGGAATTCTTATGCGGATGTAGAGAGTAGACGCACGTGCTTCGTGAATCGACCAAGATTTGTGATGGCCGCGCGTGCCAAACGCTTGGAGGAATCAACCGTTATGACGTGATCCAGCAGCGAGAGGAGACTTTAGGTGGAAGTAGCTCAGGAGGATTCCACGACTATTTTAAGAACGTCGATGAGCATAGTTTCTGAGAGAAAAGTGGAAACTGACACGCGCCGGCCATCTTCGATAGTCGATAATAATACAGCGGAACAAAAACCGAGAAGAAAAACAAACATCTCCGCGTAACAGCTTTTAAATTTTTTACTATTTTTACGATCGAGTAGTGTAATCGTGAATATAATACGAATCAAATAAGTGGTATCGTAAAAAAAAAAGAAAAAAAAAAGGGAGAAAAGAAACATGGAGGGACGATCAAAAATCGAACTTGTCCGCGTGCCTTCGAACGAGCGCGGCGGTAACTTCCGATCCGTGGACGGTGGCCGTGGCAGTTATAACTACGTTCGTGTAGGCACGTACTGCCCGGAACCGGAAGTTAAAGTGGTAGTTTGCGACAGCAAACCGCCTATCGAGCAGAATCGGAAATTCAAAAAGTACGTACACCACCCTTCCTTTCTTTCGCTGATACTGGCAATTTTGTTTCTTACTAACGATAAAATAACGTTTCAGGCACTTGGGACCAGTTTCGAAATTACTTAGACGTCGCCATCACGCGGCATATCTCGCAACAAAATCCTGTGATAATATTTATAACGTGAATAGAAGTAGTAGCTCCTTAGATTGGAGGGTTAATCAAACGACAAACGAGCAAGGTAGGCAATTGTTCAGTTCCAGCGATCGCTTTATCGTAGCGTGATACCGTTACTGTCGTACCAGCGTTAAAACTACACGAGCAGCATTCTAAATTATTATTCCAGGCTTTCAATCCCGTCAAAGCAGCAGCCTTGATTGGCGAGTAGGAAGATCTATCAACAAGCTACATTGGAGGGACACTACGCGCAGCGCGGAACAGCTTTCGAGAAGTGGAGCAATCAGTTCTGATCACCTTCAAACATCCAGTACAAAGTACTCATCATTCTGTTACATGTACTTGACGTAGAAACAGCGGCTAATAGAAAATACCAACTCCGCAGGTCGAAACTCATTTCGTTGTTACGAAGATTGTCTCCGCGAGTTTCTCGTCCAGGAAGCAAAAATTCCTTGCAAGCCTCCCCGACGATTTGTCCTTGGGTGCAGGTAGAGTACTCGACAGAATCGATCAACGATGGATTACGAGAAGATTCGCAGGAAAACGACGTAAGCTTCCAGAGAGAACTGCAGCTAAACGAACTAAGGAAACGCATGGCTGGAATCCCTACCACTTCTCAGGTGATTTGTTACAATATATATATATTGCATTCCGTATGATAGAAACGATCGCTCGTTGTTTTAAGTCGTGTGGAACAAAGGTAAATCGAAGGCGTGACCGTTAATGGTTTCCTCGTTGAGTAACTTAAAAAGAAGACGCAAAAACATGCCAGGTTAACAGCCTTTTGTTATCGAATATTATTGACAATGCGAACGGTCAATGGGATAATGTTTACCAAAATATTTTACGTCTCAGGTCACTACGAAAGGACTTGCTAAAAATGACAAGGAACAGCAAAGCTCTTCGAAGGTCAAGATACACGTACAACAAGCAGAAAATGATTATACTAACGCATCGCAATCGTAAGCCTCATTTTTTATTTCATTTTCATTTCTTTCTCTTATATAATACCTAGAAGAATTTCTCCTCGCTTTTGCATCGAACAAAAGATTCAAAATCTTCTCCTTCAGAACCCTTTACGCTCTAAAACAAGCAAAGTACTTCGAGATCCCTGCATGCGACCTAATTGCACCTAACGTTAGCTTGTAAGTAAACGTAAACGATAGATGTATGACACCCAATAAATAATTGACAATGTTTTCTGCACTGTGGTCTTAATCTCCACCTTAGTTTTCGTAAGACGCACGAGTACCTTGGTTACTTGCATCCCTGAGTCTATCGAATACTTAACAGGTTGGTAGAAATGAATAACAAAGGAATTGCTCGATGATAAATACTGACAATTTTATTAATATGAATACTATAATACACGTAAACAGACGCGTTTTGTCCGCCACTCATTATACAATTGTCAACTTGATCAAGGAACATACGAGACGACATTAATCGTACGTGTAATTACTATTCATAATATGTACAAATCAGATTGTAAAAATAATCTGTACAGTAATGATTCACGTATTTGTGAACACGACTAGTAATTAACCTTTTGTAAACAAGACATAGATGGTTGTCCTTTGCTGGCACGTGAATTAATGTCCCATCTTGCTCTTTGGGATCCACATAGTCTATGGTATGGTCTTCGGATACATGACTCGTGTTAAATTGGATTATCACATCGAGAGCTCCGACGTCGGAAGTGTTTAAATCGTCACTATCTTCTTCCCGCTCCGATTCCAAAGAACAATCTAAAGGGTCGGATAAATAATCTCCAATGTCGGACACGTCAGAATCATCAGTATCTAGACTTCTAGCTAATTTAGGTGGCGATGGGTCTTCCATTGCTGAGGAGAAACCCTGTTGGGGTAAACTTTTCTTCTTCGAGCGTGGAGATTTCCTTTTACCCATCTTCTTCAAAATATCATCCTCGTCAATGTCTTCATCCTCCTTGGTGCTTACTGGAGTATTACATCCTGATTCCGTGCTCTTAGTTGGTATCGACCTTTCTTGACCCTCTCTGCTACTAGTTTCCAACAAATCTTCTTGCGTTTCATCGTTTCGACTTGAATGTTCATTACTGCTGGACTTTTGCTCACTCGAAGTATCACTCGCATATGATTTATCGCATATTAACGTATAACAACCTGCAGACCATCTCTGAAGCTCTATTATCATTCTAGGATTCATAGTTTCTTTTTCCGGTACTAGGTCTAATTCCGTGTAGTCTTTTAACAGTTGGAACATCGTGATAGATTTAAACATATTGTAGAAAGATTTTAATAATTCGGGAAGGCTTTCTTCGTCTGCCACTTCGTAATTACAAACATCGGGTGGTCCAACTCTTTTCCAAACGATAGTATCGGATGACAAGTCTGTTACAATTTTCTCATAAACATCGTCTTTCAGAAAATGAGATAAAAATGTGTATGATTGTCGTTCTATGTCGTGGTGAACTTCTCTAACTATTCCAGGGAATAAATAACATTCTGATACCCAATCCTTCATAGCTACTTGATCGTTTAATGGTACTATGTAATTGGTTTCTACATCTGATCTTGGTGATCTAGTATCTTCTTTAATTGGCCCATGAAACCAACCGTTGATCGACCAACGCGATTTATCAGGTGTAGTTACCTCAGCCACTTGATGATAAGAATTATTGGCAACTTCAAAAAATACAAGAGAATTATATTCTGGTATTAAAGATTTTACAACGTTTCTAGGTACTCCATTTCTATCTGTGTCAAATAAATCTAGAGCTCCTCCATCTTTTTCAGACCAATTTTTTGAAAGGTACAATATAAAAGCAATTCTACGGTCACCCGAATTGTCATCATGACATAGTAAATAATCTGTATCGTAATAGCAAGAACTTGACATGGATATTTTCTGATTAAGCTCTATCTTTGTATTCCGTTCCATCCATGTTGTTAAATCTGTTTCAAATGTCTGATATAACAACTTTAAATATTCTGTGTCTATGTTAGCAAAATCCTTAGTTTGTTCAAACTGAAAAAGGTCCATGCTATTCCTTCTACTTTTAACATCCAACAATTCATTCTTTATCTCATCCATAAATTCTTCGCTACAGATAAAGTTTGATATTTTGCAAACTTTAAATGGCTTTGATATAATTTCAAGGTTCTCTATCTTCTGATCGGTACAGTTGTGCCAATTTTCAAAAAACAATTGCTGGAAGTCAGATGAAAAGATAAAATCAGAAATGATAGATTGCTTTAACTTTTTTACCCGCGGTTCTTCCTCAGCCATTACTTTGTACCTTCCTTGAAACGGTCAGTTAGAGAATTCTTACTTATATATTCTTATTCTATCAGTCTTTGTCCCTTAATTCTTTGAATCAACAATACATATTCTTTATTAATTTTATCTACAAATACTTTTAAAAATTTGTAAACTATATCACATTTTTCCGCGTATATAGACAGATATGTAGCATTACATGTTTTAACTGCGTGCATTCATCGTCTGTGATATTAAGTTTTCCGTGGAAAATACAAATTCTATTCGATCTTACGTTTTATTTCTCTCCAAACATTATCCTGGAAGGTTATCGCATTTCCACTCGGTTGTAACAATCAACTAACAGTGATTGTCGTAATTAGATTTTTATTTACGAAATTAATATTTCATTCTTCGTTAAGATGTAGTGTCGATGATAGAAATATCACAGTTTGTCTAAATACACTCACCAGACGATGCGGTCCTTGCTTTTCGATACATGCGGCCCACGTGGTCGTTCGACCCGCACGTGTTCTGAAAGCAGTCGGTCGAAAAATCGATTAATAAAATCCAGCTTGCGCCGTGATCGCATCGATTCTTTGAATAAACGATCGTTCATTGAATTACATTACTTCTTCAACAATTACATACCAGAAATTGCACGTGTGTCCAAGTTTAGAGAATTAGGTCTGCCGCTCCGTATCACCACGCAGTTGCATTCTGCCCAGGGATCGCTACTACCGCTGAGGAAAACGTTGATTCGATCGAAACCAGGGACGTCCTGAATTATTTGTGAACCCTGGCCATAAACTATTCTCCTACTACGTACAATCGGTACAACTCGCACTTAACCTTATTTCACACCGTCTGACGTCATAAATTTCCTATGATTCAATACCGCGATTATTTAAAATCGTTAAACTACGTGGAATTTTCATTTAATGTAATTTTAACAAAGGAATCACGTTACACGTATGATAAAGTTTATTTAATAGATTTTAAACACTGAATAAATTTTGTAACCTATTGTAATACATCGTGAAATGTCAAGAAAAATATGAGAACGTCAATATCGTAGCTTTCTTGTTTTCTTTTAATTTGTTGTAGGTTACATACTTTGCTGTTTCTTATTGTGCCGCGCGACACGTTTATTTTATTATAATTTAATTGCTATAATACATTGTTGAATCAAATCTACAATTTGTAAGCAGTTACTCATAGTTTAGTATCCGAAATTTTAATAAAATTATTAAAATATATAATTAAAATGAAGAACAACGATTATGTTTCGCGCATTTCAAAATATTTATATATAATTTCCCTGTTTTTTATATAAAATACTATATAAATTTAAGAATTTTGAGATTTCAGTAACCTTTCGAGGTTCAAAATTTCGTGTAAGAAATTAAAATATTTTAAATAGTGCGCGCTACAGCGCCAGTAGTTGAACGATCCGCCGAGTAGTGTCGCCACGGACGGTCGTATCAAGATGGCGGCAGTAGTTCACGTTTGACGGATGCCGTTGGTCGCATGGAAATTCGGGGCACACCCTGAGCGTTAAATTGTACAAAGTGTGATATCGTCAGGCCGAATGTTCGATCATCGTGAAATCTTCGTATAAAGAACTCGCTGGCAATCCTGGAACTAGATAACACGACAACTTGCGCATACGTGAGTAACGAGCGAAACCCACATACACGCAGCGTGACAAGTCTCATCCTTTCAATATTTTATCCCTCGGGATCTGTCAACACACGGTCCTTTCCTCCTAAAGATGCACGTTGCCTACTCGTCGTCCGCCGATAAGCTTGATAATCAAGGGGTGGGGTTTTGTGGTTGAAATCGACGATGTAAACAGTCGGTTAGGATACTCAGTATCTTTCAGTCATCTTTTGTTTGTGTCGAGATCACGTTGTGCCGGGATTACTGGTGAAGCAGTTTTATACTATTATCATTATTCAAGTGGTGTCCAAAGTGCTCTAAAAATTCTCATCTCGATCGATAATATTTAGGTGTTATCATCGAAGATTCGTTCGAAGACTATCTTCGATTCCAGTTTCTGCGATTCCCGTTTTATCCCCCCGATCTACTATCTTGGCCTTGAACCGGACTCTTAGTGCCCTACTGTAACGATTATGGCGTGAAGGAGCTTTCGAATTTTGAAATCCGCAACCGCTTGTCGAAACAGAGGTGAGTCAAGTGGGAATGTTTCTATTACACATCAGCCTCATTGTATTCAATTTTACATTTTACTTTATACATTCTCTCCCTATCGTGTAATATCTGTCGAGATTCTTTCCGTCTGTAAGTGACTATCGATTGCCATAGGGAACTACGTTTCTCCCACGTCATACCTTATTTTTCGTCGACCAGTGCCGTGTTTCTGTATCCACTAACGAATAACGAATAACTAAGATATTTAAGGAATACCATATAAGAAGATAATTATATAATTTTATATTACTGAGAATTCGTGGAATTAGGAAATACAGGTGTACAATTGCCTACGCGACAATTGTATGTTTTATAAAGTAGTGATCATTCAGATAAAATGGAATCGTGGAAGTTTCGAGTGACTTGCTCGCGATGAGGTAGGTCATTCGCCTTTTTTTTCTCCTTCGGTGGAATACCTTCGACGAGATGCCAAGTGGCTCGTTTAACGATTACGCCACTCGAACCACTAAGCTTGTCGATCGCAACATTAAGTGTACTGTTAAATTCA